TTTTTACATACAAGTAAAAAGTCAGAGATATATTGCGGGCGAAAGCCAGACAGTGACTTGAATGCAAGGACCATTAACTTGAAATAAATCCTTTGCTTAAAAGGCAGCCAGTGAAGTTCACAGAGAAGATGTGATGTGTGACTATGAGAGCATTGGATGTTAAAAATTAGACGTGTGGCTGAATTCTGCAATGTTATACATTGTACAGTTAAAACTCGGAGTACAATGAATTGCAATTCTAATATTAAAAACAAGTGCACAAACTGCTGCATGATAGGTGTCATGGTCGATAAATTTGTGAATTCTCCATAAATACATATTGGTACTTTATTGTATTGGTCAATTTACAAATAGACTTAACATGATTAGACAGTGACGGCGTGGAATCAAATATTACACCAAGATTTCGGACCGAGTTAGTAGGTAAAATGTTCAGTTCTCCAAGTGACAAAGAAGCCTGTTTAATGTACAGTAATTAAGCTCTACTGTAAGTGCCTCTTGGAAGCACATACAAGGAATTCAGTTTTGTTTTCGTTAAGTTAGAGCTTATTCTGAGCCATCCAAATCTTAATATCCTTGATACATACAGTAACTTAAGCCTATCCAATGCCAGATCAACAGTAGAGGGATCAGAAGGATCAAAATCCAGATACAGTTGCAGATCATCAGCATAAAAATTATATTTAAAACAATGATGCCTGATGATGTCTCCAAACTGACTGATGTATAGGCTAAAAAGAGCAGGACCCATACTGAGCCTGGTGGAACCCCAAATGCTAATAAGTGTGAATCTGAGTAATTATCATTGACACAGACACGACAACTCCTTTCGGTGAGATAGGAATCCAACCACCTTTAAGGCATATCCTGACAATCCAAGAGAAATATTTAGACGATTCATAAGGATCTTGTGGTCAACAGTGTCAAATGCAGCTGACAAATCGAACAAGACTAACAAGACACCTTGAAGTTTATCAATTGAGAGCAATGTTAGTATACACCTTGAGAAATACTGTTTCTGTACTATGGAGTGGACAATACGCCGACTGCAAGTGTTCAAAAAGTTTGTTCGAAGTAAGGTAAGCATTAAGTTTAATCTTTGCCTCTTTTTCAGTAACTTTTGAACAAAAAGATAGGTTACAGTAGATACCAGTCTAAAGTTTTTTTTCCATGCCAGTTTTCTTTAAAACTGGTTTAACCACTTCATTTCATTTCATTTATTTGTCTCAAACAATTACAATGTACATAAACAGAAACGGCAAAGAACAATCACAAAAGTACAAAAAAAAGAGACAGGACACTCCAAAAGTAAAATCAATCACTGTTGAGTGGAGGCCCTTTAAAGGAAAAACACAATACATACAATATAAAATTCTTCAGAAAGATAAAAAATCGAAAGATAAGTATTAAAATATAGAAAAATGAGTAAAAATCAATAAATGAGCAAATTTAATTTAAAAGGTATTTGAGATATAAAAATATTCAGATAAGCATTAAAATTTATCTTAAAAGTATAAGAGACAGATTTCAAGCTTTGTAATCAAAGGCAAAATGATATTAATATGCTTTTTGAGCAGATCAGTAGGACAGTCATCAAGGCATAATGATTTTGGTAAGCATTTCCTAAGCAAACATAATATGTCCACGTCTGACATGGGAGAGAACTCTGAAAAAGCCACAGAACAGTGAGAATCATAGGTGGGATCACCAGGTTAAGGATCCAATGTGTCAAACTCATGGTGAATACCAGCAACCTTTCCAACAAAGATGTTGGCAAACCTAGTCAAATCTCGAGGGAAATCAAAATCAGGCAGTGATTTTGTGTTTCGATTAAGTTGACAATTCACTGCATTGAATGACGACTTCATATCGGTGCAACCAGATAACAAGTTCTTGAAGTGAATGACTTTGGTGTCAAGAATAGCAACTTTGACACACCATTTAGCAGCACAAAAAGTGTCATGGTTAGTATCACATTTGTCCTTCATAAACTTGCGTTTATCTCTTTTTCACAATCCTGGATATCATGGGTGCAACTTGATTGAGACATTTAGTTAAGGCAGATGAAAAACTAATAGCCATGTTTTCACAGAATCATCACCAGCCAATAATGGTGAAAGTTCTGAGGTTAAGTCAAGCTCAAATTTCTTATGGTCAATCATACCCAAAGAGGGATAAGAAATCATCTGAGAAAAAAACTTTCGGCTTAGTGAGATCAATATTGATAGTAATTGTTATTGTCGTGATGGAATAATAGACAATAACTGCATTTGCGTCAGGAGAAACATGTATAGGTGTAATTTTGCCCTACCTGACGTGGAAATGTACCGAATACTCCGTACATTTGAAAACAACTGCGAGATCAATATTAGCACAAACAACAGAATGGTCAGAGTGACAGTTCCAATGGATAAAGTGTTCAACAAGTTGAATGAGAGGATCTAAATATGTCCAGCACCATGTGTGGATTCAGTAACAAGCCGATGAAAGGTGAGCATTAATAGTAGCAACATGCATTTTAAATGGGCAGTCAAAATGGACATTAAAATCTCCAAGTAAAAACAACTTACCAGGTAGCAGATGAAACTGCTCAATGAATTCTTCAAATTCAAACTCAAACTGGGAGTAAGTGAAGTGGTTTTTGGCAGATGGCGGAAGATAATAAATAATGACAAACAAGAATTTTCGAGAGGCAACAGTGACGATGGCATGCTCAAAAGTCACTAATTGAGATTGCAGATCGAAGGGCTGAAGATTGAGTTAGTTCCTGAGAGATTAAAAATCCCCAAACCACAAGTGTCAGAATCACATTGGGAAGTTTAAAGGCAGTGTAGCCAGGGGGTGATTCACCAATCTCAACATGGTCATCAAAAGATAACCATGACTCACTAATGACCATTAAATCAACTAAATGCTCAATCACATAGGTTGGATTCGGACGTAAACTCAATTACATGGGTAATCTACTAATAACCTCGGGGATAAATGTGACGGTCGTTCGGACGAGTAAAATAACAATCCATTTACCCATTAATTGACGGAAGTTACGTATTTTACAAGCTTCTGCAAGGTCAGAATTCGGAATAGTTCGTGACCTGAGTGACGACCCCGTGTCAAATTAGCAATGTTTTCGCGGAGATTTCAATACTTCATACACGAATTTACGCTATTTCTGCTTACTTTTGATACAATTTACTCATTTCCTTGCGATTATCCTTACAAATTGCGCCGAATTATGATTAACCCAGCCGACCAAACTATCGTGACAACTTTTATATTGCTTCTCGACGACGGATTTGATCTAAACCAAGCTTTTTGACGAAGAAAGTACAGCAACGACGAAGACAACGACCAGCGTGGAAAGAAAACTTGGGCAACAACGCGAAGAATCATGCAGCGTGGTCGCGAGCTTCTTTTTGTCCAGTGCAATCTGACCCGGCGTTGTTAACAAATCTGAAGGGTCAACTTGTGACCTGGGCCTTGTTACGGGTGATTAATTACGCCTGTAATGGTGTAATTGAAATATCCAGTAAAAAAGGTGGGTTTTTGGGCCAGATGTTTTTCGAATTTTCTATACCCAGGGGCATTATTTAATTGCCGCATGCGACCGCTCAGCTGGTGGTACCCAGTTAAATTTTACTCGTCCGAATCGGCCCATAGTCACAAAACCAGCAGAATGAGAATTCCAATGCTTTAGACAAAATATCTTGTTAGTTGGACAAGGGCGGCAGGAAACAGGTACACAGAGTCAATATGTTACATATTACATACATGGCTATTCCGATGGTATTTTTTTAAAAATCCAATCCAATCAGTACATTTGTATTAATGGGCCTTTCTTTGCAGATATGAAGCGTTGCACCCCACATACTTAAGCACCTCACAACCCACAGTATTTGATTATCTTTTAACTTTATTACATATTACATATATGGCTATTCCGATGGCATTTTTTTATCCTATCCAATCCAATCAGTACATTTGTATTAGGACCTTTCTTTGCAGATACAAAGTGCTACACCCACATACTTAGGCACCTTACAATTCACAGTATTTGATTTTCTTTTCACTTTACTGGTTTTCATGTTTTTGCATATTTATTTTAGAAGCTAATCTATTACCATATTTCTTTTACAAATTACATATATGGCTTTTCCAATGGCATTTTTTTTTTTTATCAGAAGAAATAATACAATGTTTGTGTTATAGTAGTGAAGTACTATAACATGTCAGGTAGGGCAAACATCGATTTGTACATATAGTATAGGATCAACTGATTAAAAATAAAATATGAGTATAGCCCAAAAGAAGTTCTTTGGAGTTACCATACTTATATTTTATTTAAATATAGTATTATTACATTTTTGCTACACTGTATTATAGTTAATGTAATTATCATTAGTGCTAATACCTTTCTTCCTCTTGATTTTATTGGATTTTTACATTTATAAAAATTGTCTTTATGTTATATTGTCTTTTAATATATTTTTATAGCCTAACTTTGCTTATTACCTACAGTTTTTTACACTGATCTTCTGTCTAATTAAAATATTGTTTATTAGGGCTGCTTATTTCTGCAGAAAAGATCTCTTTATTCATCTTTAATGTATATCTTAGATGTTCTATCCCATTTGTACATTCTCCTGATGAAGTCCACTTTGTGGATGAAAGCTAGAAATAATACATTTTATACTAAAAAGTGCTCTCATTTCTTACATTGTTTGATAGCAGATCTTTTATTCAAAGTAACTGAAAAAAAGACAACAAACAAAATTAGACCATTCATACCATCTGCAATAAATAAATAAATAATTATTGTGCCATTTGATGCATTAAAAATTCACTGGTAAACTTACCATTACGAAAGTTAATAGAGCAACCAACAGTTTTGGGTTGGAACAATGGGATGGGGACAATGTGATTTTCTATAAAACACATTGAACAAGAAAATGTTACAACCTCAAAGAATTTATAATTAATAATTGAAATAATTTACTCACAAGAGATTTGCTTGGATTTCTGTTCTGCAACTGTATTTACTTCTTTTATACACCTGTACAACCACTGCAGTTTTGAAACAGGCACCCTGTCTTCAACAGCAAGATTTAAATATTGAAAGGCAGTCCCATAGCTTTCAAGAAATTCCTCCAGATCAATACCCCCTCGATGTTTAGGAATTGAATTTGCTGGTATTTCTTGGAGTAGTATTCCTGATAAAGAGATTGGTCCATTTGTCTGGTGATCATCATAAAAAACTGAATTTTTCAGTTTCAATGGCTTATGTGAATTTTGATTACAAAGTTCACCATTTAAACGTTCGCAAAACACACCAGAATCATCAGTTATTCCATCATCTTTAGTCACTGGTGTGATAACGATTCTTGAGAGTAAAGAAGCGCCTCCATTCATTTTGTCCTTCTGGCTTAGAGATGGATAAGATCTTTCAGGAGACACTCTTCTGTCCTTAACATTAGGTGACATTTGGAGGCCTACACCAACTGGTAAAGTTGCACTTGAAGTAGGCACATACATTCCATCAATAATTGCACTGCCACGATTTGGTCTAGATTTGCGTTTTTCTGCTTTACTTGATCCAGGACACAAGTTAGAGTCATTAGGAGACAAAGAGGAGTGTCGACCAATAGTGCTTGTACTGGCCTGTGAATCTTCTCTGCATAGGGTTGTCTTAACTGATGGAGGGTCATCTGTCATACTTATACCAGACTCACATCTTTCATTAAGTCTTGATCTGGCGACACTAGGTCCACTATTTGTAGGCTGTTTCTGTTCTTTATTTGATCTATAAAGCCCCATAATGTTTAGAATCCATGCATCATTAATCTGCAAAGCCTCAAGACTTGCTTGGCTTAAAATGATTTGCAGTAAGTTTGTTTTACTGTTGTATGCTTTCTAAATTGGAAAAAAAGAAATATATGTCAATATCTATGTATTTACAAGTAGCTGAATGTTCTTATTTATAACTTGCATGACATTAAGAATATACACGTTTATAAAGCTTCCATACCTAAGGATGCACGGATGCTTAAGCAACTTTTTACAGGGTACAGTAAATTGATTGAATAGGAAAGATGAGTTAGAGAATCAGACATTTTCATATAATATCCACCAAGATTCTGTTTCTTTAAGGAGTAAAATATAAAACTAAAACGTTATAATATACCTTAATATAAAATAAAATATTTGAACAGTTGAGTTATCATCATAATTTCAATCCAACTTCACCCACTCTGCCGATGAAAAGCCTGGATGGTATTACACATATCTAGAGTGATCTTTCATTATTTAAATCATACATAACAATTATCTTTTAATCTCAATACCAGTCTCATTGATGACTTTATAAATAAGGAATTTAAAGCCATTTAAGCTTACTTCATACAGCTGTAGAATGGATCTGCTGGTCAAATGGAAGAAGCACCTTTCATAACTTGTCCAAAGTCTAGAACGGTTCCTTGACTGTATATCTGTATCCTCCATAAGACTCCCCACCACCTGTAAAAGAGCACAATAATGAATCAGTTGATCTGATTTTATGATCATATATTTTGATTTTAGGATTAAGATTAGAAAAAGTAAAGCATTTTTAAGAATATTTTTTACAATTTATTAACTAAAACATTTTTCTATCAGTAAACACAAACACATCAATACAGCATTGCAGACCTACAGCTATTTGGGTATCTGATAGAACTCTAGTCACTAGCACATGCTTAGTGGTCGAGTGATTATGACACGAAGATATTTTAGTTGTATTGAGGTCATGAGTTCAATTCCCACCTGAATCACTTGAAACTATAATCTGACAAATATGTGTTTGACTCAAACATAAAATAATATTCGCCATCCATATGTTTTGTAGAGAATTGACAAAAATGCTGTGACTGAAAGGTCAGCACCATGACCTTTAGAAAATTCCTTCTATAATTTTACTTTTCAAAGGTCAGGAATAGATTAAATAATTTGTTTTCTGTGGTTGCTTGTGTTTTCCTTTTCTCAAGGTAATACAAATTTAAATTATGATATTTACTGCTGTTTTTAAATGAAAATGAAATTAAAAAATATAATGCTAAAAATATTAATCCACCTTGATTCCTGACAAGTGTAGACAAATGTGCATTGCCCAGGAATGCATTATGGTTACAAAGCAAACCAGTTTGAGGTTGACTTTCCACGAGAATTAAAAATATTATTAAGTATCTGATTCAGGCAGTCATTACACAAACCTCATCAATGTAATTGTAACAAAATGCGCGTAACAGGGGTCTTTTGGGTCGGGGGGGGGGGGACAAAGGTAATAATTTTCCTGGTTAGTAATTTATCATACCCATCCCACCCCACTCCCCATATAGAAAACAATACGACATAGGGCTTATCTTATTTATAATATAGGCCACACACGTGTGTTTGAAACTAAATATAAGCATTTTCATCATGGTTTTATTTATTACAAACATATTCTTTCACCATCACTACACATTGAGGCCCTTCTTTTAGGTTTTTTAGGTTAATGGTTGTAAAGTGCAACATCTAGTCCCGAGCGCATAGAGACCATGTATTATGCGCTATATAAGTCTCTAACCATTACCATTACCATTACCATTAAAACGATCTATCTTAAATTTTTCTTTCTTGAGTTTGGGACTATTGTGTGTTTAAAAAACTTAAAAGGATAACTCTAAAAAACCCTAGTAAATGCGCGCGAAGCGCGCAAATTTTTTTTGTGTTTTTAATTCTAATTTCGTCGGAATTGATCAAAACTCTCTAAAATGTGCAATTTATAGAGGACATTGGCCTACAGTAACGAGAAATGCGCACGAAGCGTGCAAAATTTTAGGATTTTAGCCATTTTCAGAAGATGAAAAGGGCATTTATCAAGGGGTGGGGAAAGATTTTCCAAAGATGGATATTTTCTCCTTGTCCCCCAGTGTTTTTAATTCTAATTTCGTCGGAATTGATCCAAAATCCCTAAAATGTGCAATTTTTACAGGAAATTTGCCTACCCTGACAGGAAATGTGCGCGAAGCGCGCACAATTTGAGATTTTTAAGCACTTTCAGGGGATGAAAAGGGCATTTATAAAGGAGTGGGAAAGATTTTTCAAAGATAGATATTTTCCCCTTGTTCCTCTGTGGTTAGCCTATGCCATCTGGCAGCTTAGATCAAAGGAGTTAAGTGGAGAAGAGGTTGCAGGGTGTTGTGAGTCTGGTCATTATGATATCTTCCTTTTTATTCTTGTTTTTATTTTTCTCTCCTCTTTTGCTTACCTTTTTCCTTTCCTTTTCTCTTCCCCTTCTTTCTCTTCCCCTCCCTCTCCCCTCTTTCTTTTCTCTTATTACCCAGCCCGGTACGACGGCTAGTTCAGCCCGGTAAAAACTGTCGGGGGCCCCCGCCTGTTACGCCACTGTGCCCTGATAATGTTTGATAATGTTTTCATTCTAAGGGAGCTATATCAAAAATGTTTTACAATTAATTTAAAATTCTGTTGACCCACATGTCTTACAAACTGTTGCTGCTTGTAGGTTACAGGTTCCGTTGAGCTTGTGCTTCAATGCTATGCTAAATCATGGGTATATTCCCGATAACTTTTCAAAGGTCATACCTGTACCTGTATCGAAGGCATGGTGATAAGAATAACTATAGACTGATTGCTCTAGCTAGTGTCACCTCTAAAGTACTAGACATGATTCAAATTCATTTTTCAGGCCATAATTTTAATACTGATGATAGGCAGTTTTCCTTTAAAGCTGACCACTCTAATTATATATGCATATATTTGCTAAAACCAAATATTGATCGTTATATTATAATGGCAGTCCAGTATATTGTTGCTTTTTGATGCTTCAAAAGCTTTCGATAGAGTAAATCACTGGATTTAAAAAGTTCATTGACATAGGTGTACCTCTGTTGATAATTAAAATTCTAGTCTTGGTACCAAAAGTTTGCTGTGTGATGAGGAAGTAGTGTTTCCGATTTCTTTCCTGTTACTAATGGAGTTAGACAGAGAGGAGTTATGTCTCCACATATATAATATTTATATTGATGATATATGCAAATGGATAATTCTAACTTTGGCTGTTAAATCAACACTACCAAGATTAATTGTTTAAGTTATGGAGATGATATTGTAACAATGTCTCCATCAGCAAGTGGCCATCAGTGCCTCCGTGAGTCATATTCAAAAAATCACGATAGCGTGTTTAATACCCAAAAACTGAAGTGCATGATGTTTTGTCTGCGCATCCGCAAAGTTAATAGTACGCCAAATACTTTCTTAATAATGCTACTCTTGATTATGTTAATTATATTTATTACCTCAGACTGTAGCGTTATGCATTAGAGCTAATAGCATTGCAAGAACATTTAGCAGATGCTCAGATGAATTTAAGTGTTTTTTTATTTAAAAAGTTTTGCATGAATATGTATTGTTGTACTTTGAGGTGTAATTATACAAAAGCTGCAATTAAATCAACAATGCTTTGCGGCTAATGCTTCGAAAGCCTAGGTACAGTAGTGCATGCATGATGTTGTGGAAAATGAATGTTCCATCTTTCTTTGAATTCATTAGATGATCGAAACAAATTTCAGTACAAGGTTTCAAACTGTACAAATTCACTCATAATTCAAATTAAACAATATGTTCTAAACACATCTTCACTATATCATAAATGGAATAAGCTAACACACTAAAAGCACCAGTACTTGTGTGTTTGTTTTTAGGTCTACAATACATGCATCAGAGTTTCACAGATGATTCAATGGAAGTACACAACATCTCAAAAAAGTATCTTCTGATCTGTATGAAAGCTTCTGTAGTTAATAGTTAACCAAAAGTACCAAGGAAAATATTAAATTCTGGTGCAGATGGAGATTTGGCTAGTAATTTGAGGGGAAAGTGGGTGGTGTCATTGAAAAAGTGCTTACATCCTAGACCGGAATATCTCAAAAACTGATCAATTAATTTGAATGAGACTTTTTAAAATGGTTTGACATGGTTCAACAAGGAAATAATTAAATTTTGATGACGATTTGGAGTAAGGTGTAGATATGACCACACACAAGCGAGAAAATTGTTAATATACTAGCCCAGGAAACTGAATGGAACATCAGGATAAAAAAGGTAGCCAAAAATATATGGTTACATCTAAACAACATGGACCTACATCAATGTGTATACAAACTGCTAAACATATATGACAACATTTTAAAGGAGTCTGACCCCCCCAAACACAAAGCATCATGGTTCATCGGAACCAACATCGGATAAGTATCGGTATCGGATACTGGGACATAATGTTGAAAATTCTGATATTCTACTGAATTTATGCATTTTAATTATTAAATCATTAATTTTTACCTGTAGAAAAACTGTACTCATTAAATTTTGGTTTATTTCTTAAAACTCTCAAATTTCATTTTATTTTGGAACAACATTGCTTTAGAAACAAAGAATCCGCTCAAATAAAATTCAGAACAAAATGGGAGTTTCTGACTTCTTTATCAATATTAATTAAAATGCTGTTGGACTGGAGATTGTTATATCAATTTTTTTTAAATTATTATTATTATTGTTATTATTATTGTTGTTGTTATTGTTGTTGTTGTTGTTGTTGTTATTATTATTATTAGTATTAACTCTTTTGTAAAAAAAAGGATTTTACAATATATCGGTGATTATTACATTATGTTATTTTTATTGTTGACTTTTATGTTGCAATTGTTGTATGTTTTTTGAAATTATTTAAAATTAAAAAAAACCTCAAAAATAAGAAAGAAAAAAAATAATCTCCAGCAAAATAAACAATTTCCCTATTCATTTTTGCATATTCTTTCAGTTAGATTTTTAATGAAAAGTTCATTTAACCAGATCTCCCATAAGTGGCTTCTTCCAAATTGGGACCCCAGTTATTATCATTATTCATATATATATATATATATATACATATATATATATATGGACCTGAAAACCGATCGAGACTACAATAAAAAATAAAAGGATATCTCCGAAGGCTAGACGATCCGACTTCGAACAACGTCGAAAAACAATTTCATTACTATATGTCAGTAAGTGTCATTGTAAATTCTAAATTAATTTCTGCGCTGATTACTAGTTGCAATATTATGGAATTTTTGTTCCATATGTGTTTGATCTAATGCTGTCTCTTATACACATCTAGATGTGTATAAGAGACAGCCTTATCATAGGACTTGCGCATGCTGTCAGTCAGTGTTGCAATGTTATCGTGCAAAAGGCTGCCGCACATCTTTATCAAACAGAAATTTTAATCATGCAAAAATAAAAGAAAAATGCTAAGAAAATGTGGTGCTGGTGAGCAATAACAGACCTAAAGAGGAGGCACATCATGCCAACACTACATTTGTGACATCCCAGGTTTAGTGTAGCATAGCTTATACCATGTGTAATGCTATAGCATTCCAAATTCAGCTCAGTTAGCTTAAACACTAGTGTAAGAATGTAATTTCGTAGTTTCAACCGAATTTTGAAAATCCCCTCCACCCCGAACCGAAGATATTCTTTACTTAAATCCAAAGTTCTATATTTACGAGCCTCAACTGCAAGGCCATCTATGTATGTCGTCAGATTACTTGGTTGAACAAACAAAACAATGTAATGCTATATACATAATTGAGAAGGATGCATTGTTCAAGGAAATCCAAAAGCATGAAACAGGTGTACTGCGCTAAAATCCTGGGGTGCCAGGTACCATGTTAGTAAGACCAAATAAATACTAGTGTAAGGTCACAGTTATTTTAGAGCTTTTTGCATTTATAGTTATTGTTATTATAGCATTTAAATTTAAAAAAAGTTTAAATGTCAATTGTTTTACTTTAGTTAACTGTATTTGTAATATTTTTCAGATTAAAAAAAAAAACAATTAATGAGTAAATAATTATGATATACTTTCCCTCTACAGACACCACAAGGAGACACAAACTTCAAAAAGCATATTTTGTCATTTTGATATATACATCAAACTTTACCTTTCAGCTAATTTTTAAGAGTGCAACTATACCAATTAGCTAATTAAACTAATTAACTGTGGTGCACAAACTGAGAAAAATGGATTTTTCGTTTTCACAAAGACAAAACTTTCAGTAGGTTATTAAAACACGCGCTTGCGGCGTTGCAATCCTTGCGATCGCCAGGTAAGGTCTGGTTTAGTTAAGGCTAGATGTAAAGATTAGATTTCCAAACTTACCTAGGCATAGCGGTACCCTTCTTGCAGTATAACTTAATTGTAATAGGTTTATACACGTGCATCAAATGTGGAATTATTAGTAAAAGCATAATGCTTGAAGCAGGATAAGCCGAGATTGTAGGTCTGTTTTCACTCTTGTCTACAATGGTTAAACCATAGCTAAAATACAGTTTGTGCAATTTTGTGCCTCAACAAACTCTACGTGTAAACAACATATGCTGTGTTTATTCTGATCGCTGCCACAAACAGACACAAACTTTTCATGCTAATTACAGGTTAATAAAAATTAGAAAAGAAAAATAAATTGAACATTTGAATTGTTTAATTGGTTTATTTTTAAAAATTTTGTTATCTTGATAGTGAAATTTACGGATTGCTGAAGTAGTCAATTTCAAACATGTTATTCTCAAAATGTTGTTTTTATCGAAATTGAAGTTTTGTGTCTCTTCGTGAAAATGGTGACAATATTTAGGTGCTGAGCAGTTGGCTGAGAGGTATTGTTCCTGCTTCAAACCCTGCCTGAATTGGGTTTTAATTGAGTCTGATCACTCGGCTTCTCGAATAACCCTCATATTGAGAGTAAGGCGGGTTAGGGGCAATGTTTTATCCATGTGTCCATTATATGTTTTAGGTAAGTCCGGTGGCACTGCACTGTGGCTGCGGCAGATCCTCAGTGACAAAGGATTATTCTATATTGGCTAGTAGACCTTATAAATTCAAGGATTTTTAAGAAAAAAGGTCTTTAATCAATGAAAATGGTTTTCTTTTTTCTGTGTATTAGTTCAGCACATAATATATAATAGCTGTTTAGCCGACCGAGCTATTAGCTACAAACTCGGCATCAGAAGCTAATAAATTAAATAGATTCTTTTAAATGAGCTGTAGTTTCTGAATTTCCATGGTTTTTATCAGAATTGTTTATAGACAATTTATCTTGAAATTACAATAATTAAAAGAACAATTAGTAGGTAAATACTGTACATTATATACAGTACAGTAGGTAAATACTGTACTGTATATAATGGAATCTGGCAGTTATACCTCCAGATTACATTATTTTTATTATATCTCCATGGTTGCAAAAACTTAAGGTAGATTCACACTGAATCCGAATTTGGTCCGTATGGCTTACAAAACGAAAAAAGAAAATCGAATCAGTGTTAAAGAATAGAGGCATGTACTAAAACACGCATTGAAAACGTTCTACAAACCAAATTTGGATTTGGTGTGAATGTACATTTAGAGCAACAATTGACACATTCCACTAGGTTTGTCAGGTGTAGTGGGAATCCAATTTAATGATGCAGCGCGAGCGATGCTTGGTAATAGGAAAACATGTGGCTTCTTCAAAGTGTTTATGTTGTGACGCACATATCTAAACTCCGTATCCGTATGCGTATGGATGAAATTCGCGTACTACGTTACAGTCTTTGTGTAGTGTCGCGTCAATACCGTGGTTGATATGGGTTTTTGATGCGTATTGAGCCCATTTCACACGTAAGTTGAAAAACATATGATGTTATTCTGGTATATTACTTTTTTAAGCTTGAAAACAAAAAAGGCAAGTTCTGTCAAAGCAGAACAGACTATTTAAGGCAATGCTGACAAAGTTTTGGACTATAAATTCTGCATGCAAGTGATACAAAGTCAAAATTTGGTCTGACTTTAAAATCAAACTTTTAATGTACGCTGCCATTTTAAGTGCTACTGCCCTCTTTCGGTACGTCACATAATTTTTGCCCAAATGAAAAAAGCTACGAACTCAAACTTATCCGTATACGGCTCAGGCTCACTAAATCGGCAGGATTAAGAAATGACAATTCTTGAAAAAAAAATATCACAATACCACTTTTTTATTATTGCCAAATAAAAGTACAACATCTGAATTTACTGGTTTGTTAAACTCGTCATATAATGTCTGATAATTTTTAACTGACAGAAAAATGAATCATACCAACTAAAAACGTTGATGTAACATACATTACCATATTTATTTTCATATTTCAAGCATAACTATAGTAACACATCAATACTATAACCAAATTACTATGAATTCTTGAAGTCGATAATGTAGTGAATTAAAGAATATATGTTAACTGATAAATTCATATTGTTTTTGGTTTCCGTAGGACTTTGAATTTGTATGCTTTATTTTCCTCAAAATAAATTCAGTATACAGCTATATGTTTTCATCCATATTTTTTATGTACGCAATTCACATCATGGAGAAAACAAACTTTAAACTTTTAAAAAAGCACAACAAGAAGGCTTGGTGAACATGTTCTGACATTTTATGCGATCTTCAAATTGTGTAACGTAAGTTACTATAAATTTTTTATTAAATATTTTCTGAGAAACAACACCATAACTTCAGAGATAAAACATCGACGGTGCTGTGAACACCTTTCTAACACTGCAATAATAAACCAACAGATTATGTTCTTTAATAGGTAATACTCCTTTAATTGATAGCCGTGGTTTCCTTCCACTTAAATTGAAAAAGAAATTATTTATCATACAGTTATGTTTATTTAAATCTGAAAGTGTAAAATGTTCATTGAATTAACATCATATTAGTAACAATTTCATTACTATATGTCAGTAAGTGTCATTGTAAATTCTAAATTAATTTCTGCGCTGATTACTAGTTGCAATATTATGGAATTTTTGTTCCATATGTGTTTGATCTAATGATTGTGGGTAGTAATGTGAATCGCTTAGAGGGTTTACTGGCATTAAGCACTATATAAATCTATTATTATTATTATTATTATTAATATTATTATAATTATTATAAAAACACACTACAATTACAAGCTTACAAACCTAGCTAACTTGGTAATGTAGGCTACTTTGTCTTTAATATCTTTTCTTAGTATGCTTTATGAATTATTAGTATTGTTATTATTATTATTATTATTATTATTATTATTAAAACACTACAATTGCAAGCTCACAAACCTAACTAAATTGAAACGTAGGTTACTTTGGCTCTAGTACCTTTTCGTAGCATAGGTTTATGTGTTGCCTCTCTTGCTCTGAAATGTGGAAGAGCCTACCCTTGCAACCCTTTCTTTCGATTTGAACGCGGCAAATTATGTTGTCAAGAGGAATCCATATTTCATCTTTGATGTTAGGCCATTGAAAGATATTCTCGTCTATCCTGCTTCCAGATTTTAGGAACAAAACGAACGCGTCGTCGTCGTCCACCTCAATGACTTTTCCTATATACCATTTTCCATCGTATAATGCGGATATCCAGTCATCGACATGACTTTATTCTGACTTTTATCTTCTTTGGTTAATTACCTTCTTAAGGCTTCTCGAAGTTAGGCTATGTAGCATCCATCTGTCGCACTTATTCTCAATGCCAGAATCTTCTTTGCATGCACTACAATTGCAAGATATGTTCCTTACCATTACTCCATCACTGCTGCTTCTCACAGCATGAATATTAGTCGTCCCTGGAATAGCCCTTATGTTTGGCCACCTATGTTGAATTTCGTCTTCTGCAGCAATGCATTCCTCGTTAGCTAAGAAAAAGTACTCAATATCCAATGTTTCTCTTTCTTGGCAAGCCCACGCAAAGAAATCATTGGCGTCTTGTATCACGGCCACACCCTGTTTCACGGCTTTGTCAGCCAAGCATTTTACGGTCCCACCAATACCATCACATGGCCCTTTTCCGTGTCCGGCCTCAAAGTAGTCCCAACTTGCGTATACATTTGGGAAAAGGACGTGATGATGAGATATGATCGAAAATATTGATTTGTTGCGATACTGTGACGTTGGGCTATCCATCCAATAGTGGACGTTCTTCAAATCGGGCATTATCTGTTGGATCTTGGGTACCAGCTTCTTCAAGATCGCAAACACGGTGGATACATTACGTGCACGGGTGTCTGAAACAGTAACGAAGCTGCGATGTTGAATCTGTCCGGCATTAATGAAGTAGGCGACTATGGGATGCAATGTAACTCCTGTCTGATTCCAATATGCGCTTTGCACCTCATCCATAGGCACGCACGTATAATTTTGTGCAAAATCCATATGGATAACACATTCTCCTTCCTGCATGTTTTCTTTGCACTCTCTGATTGCAATATACTGCGATTTTACACGCTGTGCATGCTTCCTAAATTCCACTGCTGTACTTACAAAGAGTTCTGCAAATGTGTCTTTGCTAACTATTTGTTGGACCAGCTTGGTGTTTTTTTTTCCCATGCTGGCAGGCACACGCTTCCATTCCTCGTACTGGATCTCTTGATCTGCTATACATTTTGCTAGATCAAACATCTCGCAGTCTGTGGTGGACTTGATGGCCTCATCTGGGCTTGTGATTTTGAATACACCTAGTGACTTTAACACCTTTAATTGAAACTTGCAAAGTTCTGGTGCTTTTGGCATAGGCTTGTGTTCCTTGTGGTTAATTTAACAAGTTTGATGTTAGAGTTTCTCTGTCAAATTTTCTTGAAGGCAGAAAAGGAAACCTTCCGTTGCTGTGGGTGCTCACATTTATACTTTTCGAAGAGGTTCATCATATAATCATTAAGATAACGGATCTGACGTTTTTTCTTTAGTTGATGTTTTGCAAGCATCTCGTTTTCCTGGCATCATCCTGGAGTTATCATCTCTTTCCAGAAAGTTTAGTACTTCATTGTGAAGCGCCCCCCCCCCAAGCCTTCTTGACATATTTTCTATTTGTAGACCCTTTCTTTACTACATTGGACAGGTTACGCCAACCAATGCCGGACTCTCTTGATGTACGCGTTATCAATTTCCTATTATGCTTCTCTTTATTGGTCTTTGTACTCTCTCTTATTTCATCCAGCAGCGCGTTTGAAAGCAATAGTTGTTTCTTAAATCGCTTGGGCACTGATGCCGGTGACAGACCTAAGGAAAAAAAAATTAAACACATAAACCTTGTGTTAAAACAAGACAGCAAAACGAACAGTAGGCATACGTTTAATAAATAATTAAAAACCACCAACCTGAATCACTTCCTTGGGTATACACATAAAATTTAGGAATATTCCATGAGTGGATAAAATTAACATCAATGGTACTACAATTTAAATAATAATAATTAAGTTACAATATGTTTGTGCTGGTGAGTTGTTGAAAGGTGTATATATCTAAAAGTAGAATAGACCTGCCTGCGTTTCGGAGATCACGATTTACTTTTGACCTTGGGGTACTGCTGTTTAATATTTCGTTGCCGGTCGAAGATATTACTTTATTAACTTTCTTCATTGCTCTTTCATAGCGTTTGGTGGCTGTTTTCTTTTGTCTATTAACTCTCTGTAACTGCAGATTAAGTTTTTCGATGCGACGATGGGCTCTACTTAATGATCTACTTATGCACTTTCGTGATGAAATGCGTCTCTTAAAAGACATTTTGATGCGTAGTGGTGAGTGACTAGCTTGTGAGGCTACATCAGAAGATATGGCAGAATCATCGTTAGTACTGATTTCATCTGCTTCCTCCAATCGTTGTTATGACTGAGCTTGAAC